AGGAGGAGGGGGAAGAGGAGGTGGGGGTTTCTTCAGGGGAGGCCGAGGAAGAGGAGGTTCGAGAGGTGCTGATCTCTCACAGTGTACGAGTGCTGTGGCATGTTCTCAAAGCTGCGTGTGTTAATGTCTTGCTCTCTGAAGGCGGTGGGGGATACGGCGGTGGAGACCGCGGTTACGGCAGCAGCGACCGTAGTTACGGCGGAGACCGAAGCTACAGCGGCGGCTACAAGAGTGGAGGCGGCGGTGGAGGAGGATACTCCTCTGGGGGGGGTGGTGGAGGAGGCTACAACAGGGACAGGTGAGGTGTGTGTGTTTCATCTTTACTCTACCGCTGATCTCACTCATGATGATGCTGAACACTTGTGTCCTCTTTTTGACAGATTGCAACAATGAATGGTTTTTTGATGTTAACCACAATTAAATGTTTTTAGACGTTACACCGCCACATATAAACGTTTTTAGATGTTAGACCGCCACAATTCAACGTTTTAAAGGGATAGACCGCCACAATTCAACGTTTTAAAGGGATAAACGCTACAATTCAATGCTTTTTATGGTGGACCGCCACAATTCAACGTTTTAAAGGGATAGACCGCCACAATTCAACGCTTTTTATGGTAGACCGCCACATATAAACGTTTTTGATGTTAGACCGCCACAATTAAACGTTTTTGATCATGGTAGACCGCCACATATAAACGTTTTTGACGTTAGACCGCCACATATAAACGTTTTTGACGTTAGACCGCCACATATAAACGTTTTTGATGGTAGACCGCCACATATAAACGTTTTTGACGTTAGACCGCCACATATAAACGTTTTTAGATGTTAGACCGCCACAATTCAACGTTTTAAAGGGATAGACCGCCACATATAAACGTTTTAAAGGGATAGACCGCCACAATTCAACGCTTTTTATGGTAGACCGCCACATATAAACGTTTTTGATGTTAGACCGCCACAATTAAACGTTTTAAAGGGATAGACCGCCACAATTAAACGTTTTAAAGGGATAGACCGCCACAGTTCAATGCTTTTTATGGTGGACCGCCACATAAACGTTTTTAGATGTTTGACCGCTCACAACTAAACGTTTTTGATCATGGTAGACCGCCACATTTAAACGTTTTTGACGTTAGACCGCCACATTTAAACGTTTTTGACGTTAGACCGCCACAATTAAACATTTTTAGACGTTAGACCGCCACAAACATTTTTAGACGTTAGACCGCCACAATTAAACGTTTTAAGGGGATAGACCGCCACAATTCAAGGCTTTTTATGGTAGACCGCCACAATTCAACGCTTTTTATGGTAGACCGCCACATATAAACGTTTTTGACATTAGACCGCCACATATAAACGTTTTTGACGTTAGACCGCCACAATTAAACATTTTTTACCTTAGACCGCCACAATTAAACATTTTTGATGTTAGACCGCCACAATTAAACATTTTTGATGTTAGACCGCCACAATTAAACATTTTTGACGTTAGACCGCCACAATTAAACATTTTTGACGTTAGACCGCCACAATTAAACATTTTTGACGTTAGACCGCCACATATAAACGTTTTTGACGTTAGGCCGCCACATATAAACGTTTTTGACGTTAGGCCGCCACATATAAACGTTTTTGACGTTAGGCCGCCACATATAAACGTTTTTGATGTTTGACCGCTCACAATTAAACGTTTTTGATCATGGTAGACCGCCACATATAAACGTTTTTGATCATGGTAGACCGCCACATATAAACGTTTTTGACGTTAGACCGCCACAATTAAACATTTTTGACGTTAGACCGCCACAATTAAACATTTTTGATGTTAGACCGCCACAATTAAACATTTTTGACGTTAGACCGCCACAATTAAACATTTTTGACGTTAGACCGCCACAATTAAACATTTTTGACGTTAGACCGCCACAATTAAACATTTTTGACGTTAGACCGCCACAATTAAACATTTTTGACGTTAGACCGCCACAATTAAACGTTTTAAAGGGATAGACCGCCACAATTCAACGCTTTTTATGGTAGACCGCCACAATTCAACGCTTTTTATGGTAGACTGCCACATAAACGTTTTTATATGTTTGACCGCCACAATTAAACGTTTTAAAGGGATAGACCGCCACAGTTCAATGCTTTTTATGGTGGACCGCCACATAAACGTTTTTAGATGTTTGACCGCTCACAATTAAACGTTTTTGATCATGGTAGACCGCCACATATAAACGTTTTTGACGTTAGACCGCCACAATTAAACATTTTTGATGTTAGACCGCCACAAACATTTTTAGACGTTAGACCGCCACAATTAAACGTTTTAAAGGGATAGACCGCCACAATTCAACGCTTTTTATGGTAGACTGCCACATATAAACGTTTTTAGACGTTTGACCGCTCACAATTAAACGTTTTTGATGACGTTAGACCGCCACAATTAAACATTTTTAGACGTTAGACCGCCACAATTCAATGTTTTTGACGTTAGACCGCCACAATTCAACGTTTTTGATGACGTTAGACCGCCACAATTAAACATTTTTAGACGTTAGACCGCCACAATTCAATGTTTTTGACGTTAGACCGCCACAATTCAACGTTTTTGATGACGTTAGACCGCCACAATTAAACATTTTTAGACGTTAGACCGCCACAATTCAACGTTTTTGACGTTAGACCGCCACAATTAAATGTTTTAAAGGGATAGACGCTACAATTAAATGTTTTAAAGGGATAGACGCTACAATTAAGCGTTTTGACGTTAGACCGCCACAATTAGAAATAATTACATTAGACCACAAGAATGTATGCAATATGTCAGCAGTTGGACTGAATAATTATTATTATTATTATTCTAGTTTATTGAAGGGAGCCCAGTGTTGCGTTTCTCACGCGTGTGTGTCTCTGTGTGCAGGAGTTCCAGTTACGGCGATCGAGGCGGCTCTTACAGAGATAGCTATGATAGCTATGGTACGTATTAGCTTCTTCGCCTCTACCATCCCCATATGAGCATGTCGCCGCAGACTGGCAAAACAGGCTTTTCTTGAGTTTCCTCAACCGGGCCGGATTAGTCAAGACTTTTTTACCACATTACCCTTTTTTTCTCTTTTTCTTTTTTTACATGGGTTAATAAAACACAAATGCTTTAATGCCACAATTCTCAATTTGGATCTCAAGCTTCATGACAAGTACTCAAAAAAAACAACCCAAAATGAATGATCCGATCATCTCCATTGGAGGAACGGTTGCGCTCTCATTCTCCAGACTGCCCGAAACGACCCTGTTTTCCTGTCTTTGCTCTGGTTGGTTAGCTAGAGGGATTTTGTGTCTTAAACCTGTTGAGATTCTTCAGTGTCTTGATGTGTGATACTTCCTCCTCAGCTGTACAAGAGTAAAACCCAAGACCCGACACGACACTGGCCGAGCGTTTCTAAAGACTCATGGATCTATTCTTGGATTTTGTTTTGTAGCTGTTCTCCCTGTTTCTGTTCTGTTCTTGTACTTTAAGAAAAGGCCGTTTCTGTTCATCAAGCCGTGAACGAATGAATGTTCACGTTTCACGAAGAGCGCCGACTGGTTCCTCCACCTTTAAACGTTATATTTGACCAATGTCCACTGTCCCTGTGGGTCCCTGTGCTTCACGGGGAGTAAGAGTGTGTTTGCTCAACGAAGCCTCTGTTTATTCCATTACTGTTCCAGTAGATCTAGTCTCTCATTAAGAGAACGGCTCCTTTTGTTACTTTGCTAAGCCAGGCATTGATTTGTCCATGTCCAGTTTCCAAAAAGTGAATTCCTTTCCGCCTGGTGGCCGTCGCTGCTGTTCTCGAGGGTCTGTGTCTCTGCTCGACGCCTGCATTTTAATCATGGACTCTTGACTAATATATATATCGCATATTTACTTGAAAAGAGAACCAGAAATTGTTAACAGTACACTCCAGAACTGGGAAAAAATCCTTGTGCTCTTTGTTTTTTCTTTGTATCAGAATTTGACTCACTATTTTGTTTTTATTCTTTTTTTTTGTTTGTTGCTCTTCAATTGTGGCTTCATGGAGCCTATTAAACGAAACGATTTGTTCAAACGCTTTGAATTCTGTTGTTGCCTTTCAAAACAATCTACAAGTCCAGCTGGGAAGAACATTCATAAGAGTTTAGTGTGACCATAATCAAACACTTCTGCTCATGCATTACCCATGAAAAATAACTTCAGTTCTAGCTATTATTGAATTTAATTATGTGCTGTATATTTGTCGTGCTTCAAATTAGTAAATGTAGCCAATTAAATTTGTTTTAAGAATGAGCGCTAAATATATAAAGTAATTATTAAATTGTGGCTTTTTAAAATTGAATACTTGGCGACTGTTAGTATAAAATACTGTTTTTTGTCATGCATTCAATTTAAAATGGAGTTGAATTAAATTTAGCATTTAATTTATTTCTAATTACTGTGTCATGCATTTAAATATTAGCAACTGATTTAAATGCAGAGAATTAATAATTTTATATTTAGCTAGCTCATAGCAAAAATTAAAAGTATTGTAGCTTTTCGAAATAGAAAATTTAGCACATTTTCATTAATTTATGCTTTCTGCATTAAATTTAAAGAAGCTGAATTCTAATTACTGTATTAGTCGTGCATTCAAAACAAGTATTAAATGTAGCTTATTTAAATTAAATAAGTACTTTTTTTGCATTAAGTGAGTTAAAATTCAGAGTAATGACAAATAATTATGAAATTGTAGCTTTTTAAAAGGATTGAATATAATAATTTAGTGCAAGTGCTCGTCCTAATTATATCTGTTACTCATGCAACATTTACTCATATTTAATGCATATTTAAATACAGATAATTTTTGTAATTGAATATGATTTGGCACGCTCACTGAATTGACCTGTAGTGTAACTGAACGGCACACCTGTGATGCACAAACACCAGTTACAGTAATCGGGCCGAGTGGATGTGCTTCTCTTTATGCGACGAGTTCATTAATGACCAGGATCATCAGAAGGGCTGAGACCCGAGCTAGAGATGTCATGTGCTTCCTGATGATGAACTGAAGCGTGAGGATTAAACTAAAGTGATGTATTTCAGAGTTAGCGTTCCATGAGCTGCACATTAATAACTCAGACATGTTAGTTTAGTGTAACAGCTCCAGGTGTGCCTTGGCCTTCACGATGCCTGTCTTCTCCAGGGGAACTCTGATATGATCTGAGTTTAGAGTGTGTGTTCAGTGTGTTTCACCAATGCTGCGTTGAGCTCCTGTAAAGACTCGAACCCGGATCCCGTCCGACGCGAGTCCGGACCGCTGCGCTGCTCTGCTAGTCAGTAGTGTGTGAGGTAACCTTCCTTTGCTCTCCTCTCTCCCTGAGTGTGTGTGTTCTCTGAGCGTCATGTTTACTGTGCTTCAGCATGTAGAGCTGAGCCCCCTGGCGTCTCGGACTCCTGATCACTCTCACACACACACACACACACACACACACAGCTCAATATGTGTACATTAGCACTGTCTTTGCTCCGAGACTCGAGCTCGTTCTGCTGATATGCGAGTCCTGTGTTTGAGGGCTTCATTTTCTTCCTCTGCTTTTATTCAGGATAGTTCCTGCTGTTCGAGGACGGGCGGCGCCGGCGCTCCATGATCCCGAGAGGAACGCCTGAGGTCGGTATTACATCACTTTAACATCTTATATCATGTGGAGTTAACAGTAGAATCTGATCTGCGTTTCTTCTGGTTTCAGCTGATGAAGATGAAGATCCGAGGAGGAGTTGCTGTGATTAATGGAGGTCGAGTGTGTAAATGTGCACTTGTGAGGGTTTCTGCGGGTCTTACACACTCCTCCATTGCCCGTACACACATGATTAAGGCCTTAAAGAAGAGCAGAATGTCGTGGCCTTAAATGTTGCAGACGTATCTTCCTCAGTATTTTCCAAAACAACTTTACCCTCATGTGGTGTTCGGGTCAATTTGACCCGGAGAAGATTTTCTTTTTCCCGAAAATACTAGTTAATGTTATCGCTTTGGACTGAAACTTAGTGACTTTGTTCCCAAACGGTATAACTAAATCTCAGTGTTTTTTTGAAAATTTTCTTATTTTTTTGTGGGAGTATTGTTACCTTGTTACACTTGTGGTGTTCCCGGTCAAAAATGACCGGCCTATAAAAAATAGCTTTTAAGTCACTCATTATACCATATTTTCACCCAATCTTTGATTCAATCTTTTTGTCAACTTGTTCTCTTTCAATTAGGACTGGTTTTATATTTCTGTTTGCATCTGATTAATCGTGGGCCTCATTTGTCTGAGAGTAGGCATCTCATTTTTTGAGTAAAAAACAAATAATTTATGAGTAAATTTGGAAATATGAAAAAAAAAATATGAAAAAAATGGCTATGGTTAATCACACTAGTCTACTCTAATGTTTCACCAGGAATTTTGTTTTGAAACTTTTGTTTTGTAAAAAATATGGCACATAGTCACACTTGTGGTGTTCCCGGTCAAAAATGACCGGCCTATAAAAAATAGCTTATAAATCACTCATAATACCATATTTTCACCCAATCTTGGATTCAATCTTTTTGTCAACTTGTTCTCTTTCAATTAGGACTGGTTTTATATTTCTGTTTGCATCTGATTAATCGTGGGCCTCATTTATCTGAGAGTAGGCATGGTCAAAAATGGTCACAATGGCCGACCATTGAAAGTGAATGGGAGAGACTGAAAATAACAGAACAATTTAGTTTTCAGGAGCATTTTCATTATTTTCATGTACACATATGAGCATGTGTGCTTGCAAACATTGAGCCCTTGGACCTGTGCATGTATCGATACATTTATACACACGCTACCCAGACACACACACGTTAAAACACACAAACTTTTTTGAGTATTACACACATTCTTTTCCACAGAGAGAAATTTGATCCTACCCTAACCTGCATCTAATATACATTTATCCATCTGACATTACCACACACACACGCGCACACACACACACACACACACAAACTGGCCGTGACTGCAGTGACCCGGCTTCAAAAGAATCTTTCTTTCATGGTCTTGTTTCATCACAGCTTCCAGACAAAATATTATGACATTTTGTTTAGGAACTGTGAGGTTCTCACACAGAACTAGACAATATTTACAAATATACATCATGTGATAGCACAGGCATATATAAAATGCCTCACAGCACCTTGCTTGTCATTCATTTGTGGCAGCACAATGGCAAAACAGCTCTGCACATGATGTTATTCATCCGATTTTTGACTCAGAAACTAGTGAGGAGGAGGAAATGCAGGATGCATCTTGCAGTGAAGATGTTTCTGAAGAGGAAGGCCTTCAGAAGAAAACCTGCCTTGCCTCATAGGTGGGGATGAAGGCCAGGACAAAGTTCCATCTTTTGACCAGAATGAAACGGTAACCTCAGCTGGGCCCTCATCACTGGAAGACTGCTCCTCATCAGTTGTTTCAAGCTCCGTAGCCGATTCAGTGGTGCCTTCCTCTTCAGAAACATCTTCACTGCAAGATGCATCCTGAATTTCCTCCTCCTCACTAGTTTCTGAGTCAAAAATCTGATCACGGCCTGTGTGTGTGTGTGTGTGTGTGTGTGTGTGTGTGTGGTAATGTCAGATGGATAAATGTATATTAGATGCAGGTTAGGGTAGGATCAAATTTCTCTCTGTAGAAAAGAATGTGTGTAATATTTTAAAAAGTTTGTGTGTTTTAACATGTGTGTGTCTGGGTAGCGTGTGTATAAATGTATCGATACATGCACAGGTCCAAGGGCTCAATGTTTGCAAGCACACATGCTCATATGTGTACATGAAAATAATGAACATGCTCCTGAAAACTAAATTGTTCTGTTATTTTCAGTCTCTCCCATTCACTTTCAATGGTCGGCCATTGTGACCATTTTTGACCATGCCTACTCTCAGATGAATGAGGCCCCCAATTAATCAGATGCAAACAGAAATATAAAACCAGTCCTAATTGAAAGAGAACAAGTTGACAAAAAGATTGAATCCAAGATTGGGTGAAAATATGGTATTATGAGTGATTTATAAGCTATTTTTTATAGGCCGGTCATTTTTGACCGGGAACACCACAAGTGTGACTATGTGCCATATTTTTTACAAAACAAAAGTTTCAAAACAAAATTCCTGGTGAAACATTAGAGTAGACTAGTGTGATTAACCGTAGCCATTTTTTTCATATTTTTTTTTTCATATTTCCAAATTTACTCATAAATTATTTGTTTTTTACTCAAAAAATGAGATGCCTACTCTCAGACAAATGAGGCCCACGATTAATCAGATGCAAACAGAAATATAAAACCAGTCCTAATTGAAAGAGAACAAGTTGACAAAAAGATTGAATCAAAGATTGGGTGAAAATATGGTATAATGAGTGACTTAAAAGCTATTTTTTATAGGCCGGTCATTTTTGACCGGGAACACCACAAGTGTGACTATGTGCCATATTTTTTACAAAACAAAAGTTTCAAAACAAAATTCCTGGTGAAAATGTTAAGTTGACTAGTGTGATCAACAATACCAATTTTCTTCAGATTTTATTTAATATTTCCAAAATTATTCAAAAATTAAAAAAAAATTACTCAAAAAATTAAATGCCTACTCTCAAATAAATGAGGCCTATGATTATTCAGATGCAAATCAAAATATAAAACCAGTCCTAATTGAAAGAGAACATGTTGACAAAAAGATTGAATCCAAGATTGGGTGAAAATATGGTATAATGAGTGATTTATAAGGTTTTTTTTATGGCCCGGTCATTTTTGACCGGGAACACCACAGGTGTTATAGGGTTTTGAACACCACATGAGGGTTAAATCAAGATAGCTTTACTTGAGATGCAAATTTAAAATGTCTTATCTTGTCAAATTGAACAAGTATAAATGTCTGTTGATAACTTATGAAAATGTCCCTTTAAATTAAGAAGATTTTTCTGAGCCCGTTGGCGGATATTTGTTCTTTTAATCACAAACTTGCTTCATTTTGATCAATTTGGCAGAAAACAAGACTTTAATCAAGATACGTTTCTTAATATTCTGTATCTCCAGTAAATGCACTTGAAAACATACGGGAAGATTGTGAAAATATAATATTTGTCTGCCGTGTGATCAGAAGATAGAGTAGAAGTTATTCCCATATTCTATTGCGATTCAAGCCACTGATGAACAACTCTATTGGAAGATATTGGCGTAAATGTGTTCCCTTCAACACTTTCTGTACGTTGGTCCTAAAAAGATCTTAAACGTTCCTTCATAAACCCGGACTTCTGTTCTACGGCCACATCCGAGGAGCATTTCTCTGCTTAAACGAGTAAATGTGAATGTTGAGGGTCCAGAGTTTACACTGGGATGACGTGCATTTAAGAGAGTAAATGTTTGAATGTCAGAAATGTCGCCGGTTTGAAATGGTCATTTATCAGCAACATGATAGTTTGGACACAAAAGCGCTTTATTTAGTAAATGTAACACTGGAAGAACGTGGAGCAAACATTTATACTTTAATAAAGTGGAAGATTCCCATGACTGTAGTGGTGTTGTGTCGCTCGACCCACACACACACACACACACGAGATCACAGCTCCACCACCGGCTCGGTCCCAGTGAAGCGGGGCAGGTTCAGCTCGTACTTCCTCTGGAGGTCGTAAGGCAGAAAGCGTCCCGCCAGGAAGTGCGATCCGGGGAAACTCCGAGCGCATCGCTTGGGGATCATCAGGGAGACCAGGAGCGCAGGACTGATGCCGTCAGGACGAGCGTCATCCGCATCCCAGCCTACGCACACACACACACACACAGGTGTTCACAGAGGGAACGTGCTTCTAGAGAACTCTAGTGTTCGGGACTCATTTTAAAGAACCCTTCAGGCCAAAAAAGCTTCTATACAAGGAGAAATGTTTTAAGTTTTTTTCCCCAAATTTTCTTTTTTTATCCTCATTTTCTATTGCACCCCTGATGGGAACCCCTAAAAGGTTCTATACACAAAATTTTCTACTGATAAATTATGTTAACGACTTGTTTAATTCAGAAAATTCTATCAAAATTAAAATGCATAAAAAAAAAAAATGCATGATGGGAACCCCTAAAAGGTTCTATACATAACATTTTCTGCTGATAAAGTATGTCAATGATATTGTTTAATTCAGAAAATTCTATTAAAATTAAAATGCATAAAAATAAAATGCATTAAAAAAACTAAATGCATGATGGGAACCTCTAAAAGGTTCTATACATTAATTTTTCTGCTGATAAAGTATGTTAACGAGTTGTTTAAAGGTGCTCTACGTAACTTTTAGCGGCCTCTAGTGGTGATGTTTCAGATTGCAACCAAATTTTACAAGAGCGCTCGTGCTCGAACTCAGACAATACCGTCTATTACACAAATATCTCGGCGAACACTAGACGGATTCGGCGAGCACCGAGCTCGTTGGGACCATCTAGTCGAGCTGAAAAGAACCATATAAGTTCCATAGTTTTTGGAGGTGTTTTCGCGGAGATATTAGCAGAAAACCATCGGGCGCGCTGCAAAATTGCGGACGCCGGTGACGTCACGATCTCAGAAGAAAATCGCTCGTATCTCCGGAACGCAAAGACCCAGAGAGCTGAAATTCGGGGGAGGAGGTCGCAGGGGAACCCGTGCCCGAACGCTAGAGTGGCGGGCCGCGGGGACGCCCCCTACCGGATCGCCGTTCGCTGGGACCCCCCATTTCCAACGGCTATAACTCGGGGAGCCGGGCGAGTTGGACCTCGGGGGTGGGCTCGTTCGAAAGGCCCCGTCCAGCACTACGAACGATTCGAGTCTTGGGAATATTGATCAAAGATTGACTGAGATATAAGCCGAAAAACGTGCGCCTTTAACCGGACGTAACTCCCTGACGTCTACAATAGACTGTATATAAGGAGAGAGGCTCGGGAGCGCGTGCACGTCACATCCGGTGGATTTCACGGTAAATCCGACCCGGAGACTTCACATAGAAATAGGAATACTGGCCTTCAGAGGTAATAGCAAAACTCGACAAGTGGATCATTTTAATGTGTGATTACAACCCCTTCACACACAGGCAATAAAAAAAGGATTCATTTTAGTAGAAAAGTTACATAGAGCACCTTTAATTCGGAAAATTGTATTAAAAATAAAATGCATTAAAAAAAAACGTATTTATTTTACCAGGAAGGTCCCGTTGAGATAAGTCCTAAACCCCTAAAAGGGGGTACATTCAATCTTCTGCTGATAAAGTATGTTTACGAGTCGTTTCTTTCAGAAAATGTTATTAAAATTAAAATGCATGATGGGAACCCATAACGGTTGTGTATCTGCTTCTGTGGGAGAACACGCTCGTGCACAGCTCGTAACCTCGGCACCTGACGGGATGTCCAGGCTGGCGATCGGGACGCGGAGTCCTCGTAGAGTCTGCAGAACTGCGGCCACGGGCTCGCCCACCGACGCCAGGTCCGTTTCGGGACCCAGAACCGCGTCCACCACCAGGTTATACGCCTCGCTGAGGAGCTGCTGCTTCACACACAGAGCCAGAACACATCATTACTGATTACCTGAGCGGCTGAGACACTGATTCCCCTGTTCTGGTCACTGTCATTAGGAGTTATGCGACTTTTTGAGGTTATCAGATCTCAAACTAGTTTACTGACTTTGAGCTTTTATGACCATAATGCATTAGTTCATGTATAGCTAACGAGAAACAACACTTCAGAGTTCTACTGTTAACAGCCACTAATTAAGATTAATAAATGCTGTAGAACTAACACTGAGCAAAACATGTATTAACCTTTATTAACGTTTAATAACATTTAATAAAAATACAATTGTTCATCGTTTGTGCATGTTCACTATTGCATTAAGTAATTAATGTAACTATGCTGCATTCTGGGAAGGCAAACTCAACACTACAACAAACTCAACACTACTTTTCTTCAGATAGCATTAGGAGGGGTCGGCCTGAAGCACTTTTATTTGGCCCAGTTAATGCTGGGTACACACCAAAAGATAATCGGGCTGATTTTGGGCCGATTTTCCCCCTTTTGACAATCCTAGCTATGTCCCGATTATCTTGATGGTTCTACAGATTATCTTATCAGATTTTCCCTTGGTGTGAGGTGTGTAAGAGTGTCCGAACCTGCTCGGAAGAACGTCGGAGCCGGCCCGATCGCGAATCAGAAATCCTGATGTGTGGGAGGAACCCCGATGACAAACGTGCGCACGCTCTGGAGATTATCACGTGAAACGAAACAATATCCAATCAGAAAGCGAGATGGAGGAAGACGGAAGCATAACAAACGCAGTCATGGCGTTGCAAAAAGTTAAATTGATGTGGACAGCAGAGATGGAGGATCAGCTTGTTGATTTGTGGCAACAGCACGAATGTTTTTCTGTGAAAACATTCCAAACACTATCATCGCAATTTCTTCCTGCATATCGTCCGCCAAGCTTATTCTGAAGTCTCGCGAGATTTTGTGAGATTTCCTTTGTTCACAGTCGAGACTCTGGTTGAAAATCTGTTCGTGTGTGGTGTGCTGTCTTTGTCACATCATGGCACACCACACACTATAGGAGCAAAACGCTTAAATCTAGGATTTTTTTGTCCTCATGTTTGTGGTCTATCACATTTGGAAAATCTTATAAGATGTAAAAAATCTTTTGGTGTGTACCCAGCATTACAGTGGTTTAGCCTGGTTTAGTCTGGTTTATCTGACCTCGTTGGGCAGGTAGGAGAGGAAGGTTTAGCCTGGTTTAGCCTGGTTTAGCCTGGTTTATCTGACCTCGTTGGGCAGGTAGGAGAGGAAGGTTTACCCTGGTTTAGCCTGGTTTATCTGACCTCGTTGGGCAGGTAGGAGAGGAAGGTTTACCCTGGTTTAGCCTGGTTTATCTGACCTCGTTGGGCAGGTAGGAGAGGAAGGTTTACCCTGGTTTAGTCTGGTTTATCTGACCTCGTTGGGCAGGTAGGAGAGGAAGGTTTAGTCTGGTTTAGTCTGGTTTATCTGACCTTGTTGGGCAGGTAGGAGAGGAAGGTTTAGCCTGGTTTAGTCTGGTTTAGTCTGGTTTATCTGACCTCGTTGGGCAGGTAGGAGAGGAAGGTTTAGTCTGGTTTAGTCTGGTTTATCTGACCTCGTTGGGCAGGTAGGAGAGAAAGGTTTAGTCTGGTTTAGTCTGGTTTATCTGACCTCGTTGGGCAGGTAGGAGAGGAAGGTTTACCCTGGTTTAGTCTGGTTTATCTGACCTCGTTGGGCAGGTAGGAGAGAAAGGTTTAGTCTGGTTTAGTCTGGTTTATCTGACCTCGTTGGGCAGGTAGGAGAGAAAGGTTTAGCCTGGTTTAGTCTGGTTTATCTGACCTCGTTGGGCAGGTAGGAGAGGAAGGTTTAGTCTGGTTTAGTCTGGTTTATCTGACCTTGTTGGGCAGGTAGGAGAGGAAGGTTTAGTCTGGTTTATCTGACCTCGTTGGGCAGGTAGGAGAGGAAGGTTTAGCCTGGTTTAGTCTGGTTTATCTGACCTCGTTGGGCAGGTAGGAGAGAAAGGTTTAGCCTGGTTTAGTCTGGTTTATCTGACCTTGTTGGGCAGGTAGGAGAGGAAGGTTTACCCTGGTTTAGTCTGGTTTATCTGACCTCGTTGGGCAGGTAGGAGAGGAAGGTTTACCCTGGTTTAGCCTGGTTTAGTCTGGTTTATCTGACCTCGTTGGGCAGGTAGGAGAGGAAGGTTTACCCTGGTTTAGCCTGGTTTAGTCTGGTTTATCTGACCTCGTTGGGCAGGTAGGAGAGAAAGGTTTAGCCTGGTTTAGTCTGGTTTATCTGACCTCGTTGGGCAGGTAGGAGAGGAAGGTTTACCCTGGTTTAGTCTGGTTTATCTGAGCTCGTTGGGCAGGTAGGAGAGAAAGGTTTACCCTGGTTTAGTCTGGTTTATCTGACCTCGTTGGGCAGGTAGGAGAGAAAGGTTTAGCCTGGTTTAGTCTGGTTTATCTGACCTCGTTGGGCAGGTAGGAGAGGAAGGTTTAGCCTGGTTTAGTCTGGTTTATCTGACCTCGTTGGGCAGGTAGGAGAGGAAGGTTTAGTCTGGTTTAGTCTGGTTTATCTGACCTCGTTGGGCAGGTAGGAGAGGAAGGTTTAGTCTGGTTTATCTGACCTCGTTGGGCAGGTAGGAGAGGAAGGTTTAGCCTGGTTTAGTCTGGTTTATCTGACCTCGTTGGGCAGGTAGGAGAGGAAGGTTTAGCCTGGTTTAGCCTGGTTTAGTCTGGTTTATCTGACCTCGTTGGGCAGGTAGGAGAGGAAGGTTTAGTCTGGTTTAGTCTGGTTTAGTCTGGTTTATCTGACCTCGTTGGGCAGGTAGGAGAGGAAGGTTTAGCCTGGTTTAGTCTGGTTTATCTGACCTCGTTGGGCAGGTAGGAGAGAAAGGTTTAGCCTGGTTTAGTCTGGTTTAGTCTGGTTTATCTGACCTCGTTGGGCAGGTAGGAGAGGAAGGTTTAGCCTGGTTTAGTCTGGTTTATCTGACCTTGTTGGGCAGGTAGGAGAGGAAGGTTTAGTCTGGTTTAGCCTGGTTTATCTGACCTTGTTGGGCAGGTAGGAGAGGAAGGTTTAGCCTGGTTTAGTCTGGTTTATCTGACCTTGTTGGGCAGGTAGGAGAGGAAGGTTTAGTCTGGTTTATCTGACCTTGTTGGGCAGGTAGGAGAGGAAGGTTTAGTCTGGTTTAGCCTGGTTTATCTGACCTTGTTGGGCAGGTAGGAGAGGAAGGTTTAGCCTGGTTTAGTCTGGTTTATCTGACCTTGTTGGGCAGGTAGGAGAGGAAGGTTTAGTCTGGTTTATCTGACCTCGTTGGGCAGGTAGGAGAGGAAGGTTTACCCTGGTTTAGCCTGGTTTAGTCTGGTTTATCTGACCTCGTTGGGCAGGTAGGAGAGGAAGGTTTACCCTGGTTTAGCCTGGTTTAGTCTGGTTTATCTGACCTCGTTGGGCAGGTAGGAGAGAAAGGTTTACCCTGGTTTAGCCTGGTTTAGTCTGGTTTATCTGACCTCGTTGGGCAGGTAGGAGAGGAAGGTTTACCCTGGTTTAGCCTGGTTTAGTCTGGTTTATCTGACCTCGTTGGGCAGGTAGGAGAGGAAGGTTTACCCTGGTTTAGCCTGGTTTAGTCTGGTTTATCTGACCTCGTTGGGCAGGTAGGAGAGGAAGGGCAGGTCCATCCGCTCGCACTGCACCGTCAGGTCCTGATGGAGGCGGTCCGAGGAGCGTTTGGGACAGAACACAGTGGGAATGTAGTCCTGTCACACACACACACACACACACACACACACAGATCCGTCACTCAGGGCTCCTCTTTAACTCTTTCACCACTCAATTTTCTGGGGGGCCATGAAAGTTTTGTGAAAATGATCACAAATCCAGGGTTCGTACACGCCAGAAGAGCTTGATTTGACTCTGAAATGTAAGTCCTGGAAAATCCTTGAAATATTTATGGAAAGGTACTTGAAAAGTGCTTGAATTATTGAAAGACAAGATATGTGAAATTAGTTTTTCATTTGACCAATAAAACAATCTTTTCACGCAAAATGAACGCTGAGCTCGTCTGACATAGATATAGAGGCATGGCTATGAGTGTGATATTGCTCATATTAATATCCAAGTATATGATACATCCAGGGCTTGACATTAACTTTTTTGCTCACTAGCCAATGTGGCTAGTGGTTTTCCAAAGTTACTAGCCACACAGCATTTTTACTAGCCACATTTTTGTTGTTGTGAAATTACCTGATTAAAGTTGACTATGGCGTGCTAAAATTTACTTGAACTAGATTTACAACCCTTTTAAATGTAAAACCACTGTACACACGCAAATCAAGACTAGGTATAACAATACAGGTCATTATCATTAGCTCTGATAAGGTTGTGTGTAAAGCTCCTTTAAAGCTCCTATAAAACCATGTATTAAGATGAAGACATAGCTTCTTATTGCATAATAAAAGTGGTGCATGGATGTAGAAGATTAATAAAAAATATAAAAAACTAAACAAAAAACCTTTAGCATTAGAAACACTGTCTGTTTAAATATCAGAATCAGAATTACTTTATTGAGCCCCGATGGGAAATTCTTTGTTACAAGTTGCGTTTTCTGTGTCTTTGCACACCAGAAACGTGTCTGCTGGTAACGTACATGGAGGGCTATCTCGGGATTCGGGCGTTGCAGCATAGACGGCAAAATAGGCTATAAGAATATTTCGTTCTGTATTGACAGGTGCAATATTTGAATTTTTTTAAATTATATCTGCATTTGCCAAAACCTATGGACTTTCAAACATAAAAATGCCATTTATTAATATGTGTTCGTGTCAACATGACATATTTTCCTATTCTATTTAGCCTGGAAACGCTTCCAACAGGCTTGCGTGTCGCGTGAGAAATAGGCGTCGGTTTTTTTTCTAGCATGCACGCGTTTTCGGCAAGCTCGAGACGCGCGTCACGCAGGCAGTGTGCAAGTTCTAACCTGTTAACATGGGAGCCGAAATAAAAACGGACACACCACGCAGCTGAGACGCGCACGCCACGCAGCCAGTGCGCTTCAGATGCCTTTTGAAAAGACTACAATTATTCAACCCGCCAAAGTGGCTAGTTGAAGTGACTGTGTTACCCGCCACGAGCAAAATCCACCCGCATTTGGCGGGTTGGCGGGTGTTAATGTCAAGCCCTGGATACATCTTTCATTCTTCAGCTCAATCATATATTCATGGGGAGGAAAAATCAGTTTCAAACACCAGTGAGGGATCTGACTTCCTCATGTTTGGGAATGGAGCGTCTCATGATGACGGTGTGTGTTTTCACTCACGAACACATGGAGATGTCGAGCACACGCGAGTCCCACACACCCGTTCTGGTCCGGTCCACAGATCACCAGAACCGTGGCCTGGCGTTTCTCCAGAGACGAGAGCGGGAAGGCCTGAGAGAGATCACCGCATCACTGATCAACAACGGATAATTACTAACAAACATCGAATCAAACGTGACATTGAAGAAAGCAGAAGGACAGTCTTTCTTCTTCAATGTGTTACTAACCAACTCACAATTTTGACGTTAAATTAAACGTTTTTTTGACGTTATACTGCAACAATTAAACGTTTTTAACTCACTATTTTGTTTTTATTCTCTTTTTTTGTTGCTCTTCAATTGTGGCTTCATGGAGCCTATTAAACGAAACGATTTGCTTTCTTGTCTTTCTACTTTAATTCAATGTGTTACTAACCAACTCATACATTGCTAGTAAGTTTCACAAATAATTTCTGAGTGAAAATTGTTTCTACAATGACAAAAAGTTGGTGTAGAATTTACTTTCACTCAAATTGTCACAAATAATCACAAAGAATTGGCAGGAATGCATGTGGAATTTTGAAGTAGAAACACTGAAATAGTATTTTCTTGTTCAATGAAAAATGCATCAAAATGAAGTGAGTTTAAGATTAAAACAAGAACAAATATCTTTCAATGGAGTCAGAAATAATCTTGTTTTCACTTTGAATTAAGTTTATTTTTCTGACTCCATTGGCAGATATTTGATCTTGTTTTAATCTTAAACTCACTTCATTTTGACAAATTTTTTCTGAAAACAAGACTTAATATCTTCAGTCATTTTGCTTCTCCAGTAAATGTCTCTTAATTTAAGAATGTTTATATGCTTGTACTTGAAAACAAGATCATTAATAATCATTTTATCAGTGAGGAACAGGAAAGTACTGTTTTCAGACGGTATTTTAAAAACTACTATGGTGAATGTAAGGATTAAAGACTCGTTCCTGCAGACCTTTGCGATGGCGTTCGCACACGCGTGTCCCAGAATCTCCGTCAGCTGTTGCCGTCCGAAACCATAATCCCTTAGCAACTCCGTCTCCATGGAAACTGCCTCCGCTTTACTGCAAACATGATAAATACACAACTTGGGATGAACTCTAGAAATATACTAGTTTTAAACGTGACTAATGACAGTTAAGCCTGCAAGAAATGGAAAAGGATGCATGAGTAAGAGCACTGAATGTGGCTTGAGCTGAGTGTCGTCATTGGGATGTTTTTGCTCCAGGACTCCTGTGGGAAGATGATCCGCTGCCCTTCCGTGATCGGGATCGATAGGGAATCCCTGAGGCGTTCAGCTCCTCAGTTCCTGAACTCATGCAGGGAAACGACCCGACAACAGATCCTTCCACACAGGAGCCCGAACATCAGATCAAATCATCATTCACCTCGGCATCTGGAGACTCAGCCAAAGCTGGAACGCTTCCCTCGTCTTTCTGCAGCGCTGAACATTTGTGCCATGAAATCATCACACCGAAACAATGAAGCACCGAAAACACTGAAACACTGAAGCCTTGGAAAACTGAAGCCTTGGAACACTGAAACACTGAAGCTCTGAAACACTGGAAACACTGAAGCCTTGGAACACTGAAACCAATGAAACACTGGAAACACTGAAGCTCTGAAACACTGAAACCACTTAAACCACTGAAACCACTTAAACACTGAAACCACTTAAACACTGAAGCTCTGAAACACTGAAGCACCGAAAACACTGGAAACACTGAAACCAATGAAGCACGGAAACCACTTAAACACTGAAACCACTGAAACACTGAAACCACTTAAACACTGAAACCACTTAAACACTTAAACCACTGAAACCACTTAAACACTGAACCACTTAAACACTGAAGCTCTGAAACACTGAAGCACCGAAAACACTGGAAACACTGAAACCAATGAAACACTGAAGCTCTGAAACACTTAAACACTGAAACCACTTAAAAACTGAAACCACTGAAACACTGAAACCACTGAAACACTTAAACCACTGAAACCACTTAAACACTGAACCACTTAAACACTGAAACCACTGAAAGCACTTAAACACTGAAACCACTGAAACACTGAAACCACTTAACCACTGAACCCATTAAACACTGAAACAGTGAAACCACTGAAACAGTGAAACCACTTAAACACTGAAACCATTAAACACTGAAACAGTGAAACCACTTAAACACAGAAACCATTAAAACACTGAAACCACTTAAACCACTTAAACCACTTAAACACTGAAACCACTTAAGCACTGAAACCATTAAACACTGAAACCACTGAAAGCACTTAAACACTGAAACCACTTAACCACTGAAACCATTAACCACTTAAACACAGAAACCATTAAAACACTGAAACCACTTAAACACCGAAACCACTTAAACACTGAAACCACTTAAACACTTAGACCACTTAAACCACTTAAACACTTAAACACTGAACCACTTAAACACTGAAACCACTTAAACACTTAAACCACTGAAACCACTTAAACACTGAACCACTTAAACACTGAAGCTCTGAAACACTGAAGCACCGAAAACACTGGAAACACTGAAACCAATGAAACACTGAAGCTCTGAAACACTTAAACACTGAAACCACTTAAAATCTGAAACCACTGAAACACTGAAACACTTAAACCACTGAAACCACTTAAACACTGAACCACTTAAACACTGAACCACTTAAACACTGAAACCACTTAAACACTGAAACCACTGAAAGCACTTAAACACTGAAACCACTGAAACACTGAAACCACTTAACCACTGAACCCATTAAACACTGAAACAGTGAAACCACTGAAACAGTGAAACCACTTAAACACTGAAACCATTAAACACTGAAACCATTAAACACTGAAACAGTGAAACCACTTAAACACAGAAACCATTAAAACACTGAAACCACTTAAACCACTTAAACCACTTAAACACTGAAACCACTTAAGCACTGAAACCATTAAACACTGAAACCACTGAAAGCACTTAAACACTGAAACCACTTAACCACTGAAACCATTAACCACTTAAACACAGAAACCATTAAAACACTGAAACCACTTAAACACTGAAACCACTTAAACACTGAAACCACTTAACCACTTTAACACTGAAACAGTGAAACCACTTAAACCACTTAAACACTGAAACCACTTAACCACTTTAACACTGAAACAGTGAAACCACTTAACCAGTGAAACCACTGAAATAGTGAAACCACTTAAACACTGAAACCATTAAACACTGAAACCATTAAACACTGAAACAGTGAAACCACTTAACCACAGAAACCATTACAACTCTGAAACCACTGAAACACTGAAACCACTTAAACCACTTAAACACTGAAACCACTGAAACCCTGAAACATAATATCTATATGCTGATTTGCTGCTCAAGAAACATTTCTGATTATTATCAGTGTTGAAAACAGCTTAATTTTTTTGGTGGAAATTGTGATATCTAATTTTTTCTGGATTCTTTGATGAATAGAAAGTGCAAAAGAACAGCGTTTATTTGAAATACAATCTTTTTACCATTATAAATGTCTTTACACTCACTTTTGATCAATTGAATGCGTACTTGATGCATAAGAGTATGAATTTCTAATCTTTCTTCCCTCAATCTTTTGAATTTCCACACAAATCTGAAGCAGCGCAACAGTTTTCAACACTGATAATAATCATAACTGTGTCTTGATTCTCAGATCCTCATATTCGAGTGATTTCTGAAGGATCATGTGACACTGAAGACTGGAGTAATGATGCTGAAAATCACAGGAATAAATTACACTTTACTGTATATTCACATAGAAAACAGATGATTTACACTGGAGTAATTTTACACTGTTTTACTGTATTTTTATCAGCCTTGGTGAGAAGAAGAGACTTCCTTCAAAACATTAAAACATCTTAAACATTCCTAACTTTTGACTGCCAGTGTTCTCCAATCATTTTTGTTTTATTTACTTCAACAAACAATGTTTTTCCCAGTGCATGAGCATCCAGTGCATAATGAAACAGAGCTGCGTGATCAGAGTTTCCCGTTATGCATCCAGGAGTTTGTTGTCCGTCTGCACTCTTCCTGTAATGATGTGTGTTTCTCAGTGTGTGTGTGAACGAGTGTTCAGATCTCAGTCATCATAACATCCCAGTGAAGAGAGAGAGAGAGAGTCGGGAAACGTCTCAAACGTCTTCAGTTCCTCGGAAAACATCTTTCATGAGTTTCTGGAAAACTGTAACTCTTGTAAAAAAGACTTTGGCAGAAATAAACGGAAGTCACTGCTTTAATCAGCTGTTAAACACCCGCAGAACTGTGTGTGTGTGTGTGTGTGTGTACTGAGCTTATGATACTAGAGAATAAAGCAGTTCTAGATATTATAGTTTGAGTCAAAACAGCGGAAGAGAGATGAACACATGATGTTCCTCCTCAGTGTTTCTGTCTCGCTTTACAGCACTAATATATAAACATTCATAAATCAAGAGACATTTACTGGAGAAGAAGCAAAATGACTGAAGATATCAGTCAAACATTTATTAAAATGAAGTGAGTTTGTGTTTAAAACAAGAACAAATATCTGCCAATGGAGTCAATTCTCTTTGAATTAAGATCATTTTTTCATTGGCAGATGTGTGTTCTTGTGTGCAGGTTTATTATAATTAACTAAAACTAAAACAATAAAAAAAAAATTTTGTTACTTGAAATAAAATGAACGTTAACTAACTTAAATAAAATTGAGAACAATTTAAGTTATTTTAATGCAGAAAGTTGCCAAGGCAAGATATTTTTTTTTAACTTAATGTACTAAAACTGAAATAAAAATTACAATAACAATAACTATTTAGACATATTTATACACACACAAATCACTAAAACTTCTTAAATCACATTTGAATATATAAAGTAAAATATAGAAAACTAATATAAAAAATACATAAAGTAAAAAAAAAACGAATACAATTTTTAAATAAAAAATAAAATAGTATCTCAATGATAATAAACTAACACTGGTTTTAAACATAAACTCACTTCAATTGAATACATTTTGACCGACTATCTTCTTCTCCAGTAAATGCATCTTGATTTATGAATGTTTAGATAACGAGGAAACTGGAAAACGAGACAGAAACACTGAGGAGAGCATCATGCAGTGCACAGGTGTGTGTGTGTGTTACCTGAGATATCTGAGCGCTTCCACACACTCCTGATCCCTGTTGCTCATCTTCACTGAATTAAAGCCCGAGCTGAAGGAGTTTCAGTGCTTTACTTCTTCTCGTCTCACTTCTGCTCGTGATGTGAGAAGATGAAGCTCGTAATGAGAGTCGGCCGCGCGAGAGCCAATCAGAGAGCAGCAGGAGCAGGAGGAGCCTTCTGATTGGCTGATGGGATTCTTCACGCTGACCCGAGAGAGTCGCACATCTTCTTCACACACTGAAGATTCGCTCAGTGTTTACATTATAATATCCGTGTGAATGCTGTTGATACTGATGGAGCCTTCATGCAAACCAGGGGCATTTACAAGTATTATTATTAAAAATGAAAACGAGGAATAGTTCCTCATCCTGTGGAAATGCAAATCCTGAACAATGCTGTTGTTGTGAAGCGGGTTTTTTGTCACTTAGCATGTTTGTCTGGTTTTCCAGCATAAACAAATGTCTGAATGTGATTCAAAACATCAAAGCAAGAGCCAGTTACTGTAATCTGAACTGAACATGAAGACAGTCATGATTGTTAGTTTAGTAGTGGATGATTAACGTGAACTTGACTTCACATCCACTAAAACACACTGAAACATGAAGAAAAGCGAAAGAAGATCCTGATGAAGTGTGTGTGAGTGATTAAACTGCTCAGAATCAACTCGAGTTAAATACTCACGTGACATGTCTGATTTCGTCTCGCAGATCACGTGATTTGAGTCCATCAGTTCTGTTTAAGGCTTTTATATGGGTTTATAAATGTTCATAAACATTTATGGGTGTTAACTGTGCATCGAATTATTTCATATTCAGATGAGTGCATAAAAATCCAGTGTTACAGTGAGTCTGAGTTCCTCCTAATCATGCCCGGGAAGATCTTTTGTTTCCATGGTGATTTGATAACATTTATTAAGTACATTAGTTAACATTAAAGGGATAGTTCGGCCAAAAATGATATTTAACCCATGCATTACTCACCCTCAAGCCGTTCGAGATGCATATCTCAATCTTGTTTCAGACGAACACATTTTCAGTTATTTTAGAAAATGTCTTAGACCCTTCAGTGGATATAATGTGAAGCAATGGGGTCCACCTCCTTCAAGTCCCAAAATGTGCATACATCCTTCACAAAAGTAATCCATCCGGCTCCAGGGGGATAAACGAAGGCCTTCTGAGGGTAATCCGTGCGGTTTTGTCGTAAAAATATACATATTTAAAACTTTATAAATGAAAATATCTGACTTCCGGCAACGATCGACGCGCGTTCACGGGTGATGGAAGTCGGCGTACGAGGTAGGACGTAGCGTAGGAACCGTCGTGACGTAGAACGAACGCGCCAGCGCAGCCAGAGAGCAGAGCAAAACAAAACTCCACTCATGCCCTGTCCCAAATGGAACCCTAAGCACTCGCGGTCTTCCTCTGAGTCCGCACTTTCGCGACGTAACGCCGCTTTGAATGTCGGGAAGAAGTCTGCTGTGGAGTCCGCATCAGCGCGGGCTCGGCAAAATTTGCCATTTGGGATTGGGCCTTCATGTGCACTTTCGGTCTTGTGGACTTACAATGGCTGCCGCGTGGGCGTGTCCGTTAAGTCCGTGAGACCGCAGTGTGTCCCATTTGTCATTTTTAGATCTCAGAAGGGTGCTCGCGAGCGCCCCCTCTGCGGTCGATTTGCGCCCTTGATGCGCACTTTTGCCGAGCCCGCGCTGATGCGGTTACAAGGTCGTTTGTGACGTCAGAAACACCAGCGATTTCAAACCGTGTTTTTGAGACTGTCTTTGGTTCACTGCAGTTTTAAGGAGGAAATACTCAGCAATGCTGTCGACTTATGAACTTACACATGGTGTGTCTTAAAGCGTATTAAAAACACCACATAGACACAAACATTAAAAGCTGGATTTTTATTTTATTTTTTTACCAAAGGGGGACTTTAATATTTTTAGGAGATTTTATGGTGTTTAATTATATTTATGGAATAGTTATAATTCACCTTTTAAGCATTGAGCTGAAAATTAAATTTCCAACCTTAACTATGATAAATCGTGAATGCTTTGGAGCAACACACTGAAGTTTGGTCTCTTTTTAAAGACGACACTATTTGCTGAAGTGAAAAAAGAGGAAAAAAAGAAAAGAAAAGTTGTTTTATTCCATTACTCTAAAAAAAAATGCATAAAAATAAATTATATGAAATGTATATATTCTAAAACATGTTTCCAAAACTCAGGAAAAACGGAGAAAATCAAAGCCATAAATCTGAACAAGTTGTGCTCCAAATTTGAGGTTGATATCTCAAAACATGAGCTTTCAGTGAGATTAATCGCACTACCGTCTCCCATTCATTTCAATGCGCTCATTTGCGAACAATACAAGTGTGACTGTTATTCAGGACTACAGACTACCGTGTGTAAACTACAGAAACGCATCATGTTCAGTCTATACGTGCGTACTCCTCCACAGTGACGTCGCCACCTACTGGCCTGACATGAGTATTACAGCGCTCGGGCGACTCCGCTGAGCCGTGAACGGGGTCGTTTTGACAAACGCGAAAAACACAATGAAAAAACTAAGTTTTTAGCACATCGTTGTCGTGTAAACGTGCCATAATGTTAATAAATACTGTAACAAACGTATTTTTTTAGTCACTGCATTAACTAGTGTTATTAAAGGGACCTTATCATCAATAAATGCAGTGCAGAAAACAAACTAACGGCAGAGAGAAACAAGGGAGGACACCAGAGCATCTGAGAGGAAAAGTACAGATATTTAATATGGAAACATTTACAGTGTGAACAGAATAACACGCCTCTGTGCAGCAGGGCATGCTGGGATAGCTGCCGCCTACACGTACCACTGGAAGCCGAACTTCTTGTGGAGCAACTCCTCACGGGGTCGAAGGTTAAAGAGCTCCTCTGTGACCGGAGGGACCCAGCGGTCCGTGTGGAACGCCTTCTCCCCGACCTGAGACAGAGGAAAGCAGCTTAACTCCTGAATCTCCACGGGTCATGTGACCACGCTCAGAAACACAACGAAACGTGCGTCAGAACCTTCCAGCCGGGAACGTCCCTCATGATCACAGCCTCCTCCTCCAGGTTCTCCCGCAGCATCCGCAGCGTTCTGCAGGACAAACACCAGTCGTCACGCCCCCTGCCTCACTGAGTCCCGCCCCCGACTCTGTGATTGGTCGAGGCAGGGGGTGACGTCATGCAGATCATTGGGTCTCATTCGCGAAGCGTGAGTTATGCGTATGAACATTCATCCTCACATACAAATCATGACTCAGCAGTAAACTTGCAAGCAACATGCTAATTCATGTTAACATGCTAGATTTTTTTTGCAATGTGCCGAAGCTTATTAGCAACATGCTAATTCATGGTAAAAATGCGTTCAAAACTTACTACCATGCTAATTAATACTAACAACTTGCTAAAACTTACAATGAACATGTTAATTCATGTTTACAATGTTTAAACTTACTAGCAACAAGATACTAATAACAATGTGCTAAAACTTATTAACATGCTAATTAACGCTAACAACGTATTTAACATGTTGCTAATTCATGCTAGCAGCATGCTAAATCATGTTATCAATGTGCTAATTAATGGTAGAAACATGTTAGCAATAAAATATGATTAAAACCATGTGAAAACATGCAAGCAATGTGTTAAAAACATGCTAATTTATGCTAACAGCGTCCTAAAACATGTTAGCAACATTTTAAAACATGCTAGCAAAATGCTAAATCATTAACAATGTGTTAAAATATGTTTGCAACATTTTAACTACATGTTTTAATAGAATCTTCAAGCTTTTCAGTGTTATTTCGAACTTTCAGACACATCAACAGTGTTTGATGGAGGATTCCGCTCATGTTTGGAGAGCGCTGCGTTCGCTCACGGAAGCATGAAGCGAGTTTAGTCTGATGCTCACCGTCGGTCCTGTTCGGCCTGTAGCAGCGGCAGAAGCCCGATCCGAGCCTCCAGCTCCTCGATCTGCAGACGCCTGTGAAGAAGAAGAGGAGGAGGAGGAAGAGGTCAGGACTGACGGCGCGACACACGGACGGCTAAAGCGGCGAGGCGAGACTCACCTGCGCTCGCGGTTCCAGCGGAAAAGCCTCCAGTATCCAAACACCAGGATCCCGACGCCGATCCCAAACATGCTGTAACCTGGGAACGACACACACATTCCCCGTCACGTCACGGACTGACATCAGTAGCGCTGCAAGATTACCCGTTAGAAGATCGCGATATCGAAGCTAACACACTCGCGAGCTTATTCCTCAATGCTGAACGATTCGTCTCTGTATATTAACCCTTCGATGAGTGCCATCACAGGGAACATTCAGATCCGTGTTCTGATCCGGAGAGCCGTCGTCATGCGTCGGTATAAAACAGCTTCACTTTTCAGCAGTGTCATTGTTTCTGTCTTACAATCAGTCATATTATCACAGAAGTACTGGAGTAAAGGGTTATAGTTCTGATAAAAACACTGATGTCTACAGTAGCGATTAAAATTGAAAGTAACTTTCTGCTTCAAATAAAGATTGTATCGATTACATTGTTACACCAGTAGGTGGCAACCAAGTGACTCAAAACTATAAGTCATTGAATCATCACTCAAGAGATTTTATTTAAATAATTCATTCAGATTATTAACAGTCAATCATTTAATCCCTTAAAACTCATCTATGATCACCAAAATTACATATTTATTTAAACATTTAATATTTTTCATCCTTGGAAAAAAAAAAGTCGTCATGCCTTAAAATATCTTGAATGTAACTCGACACCCTCGCCTCATTTAGTATGCGCGGTTCTATGAATATGCAAATGAGCCCCGCCTCCACTCACTCCCTCAGCTCAGAGATCCACTGGTTGACGATCACACGTTGATCTGATTGGTTACAAGGTCGTTTGTGACGTCAGAAACACCAGCGATTTCAAACCGTGTGTTTGAGACTGTCTTTGGTTCACTGCAGTTTTAAGCAGAAAATACTCAGCAATGCTGTCGACTTATGAACTTACACATGGTGTGTCTTAAAGCGTATTAAAAACACCACATAGACACATAAACAACATTAAACGCTGGATTTTCACCACAGGGGGACTTTAAGCAGTTTTAATTGACTGACTCTAGTAAATTAGCCTAGATTTGTTTAGGCCTAGTTGTCTGTTCAGAATCGTGATTTCTATTTGAAACAATATAATCGTGATTGTCAGTGTATCCAGAATCAACAGTCACATACAGCAGGAGATTAAACACGAATCAAGCTTTAAACTAGAGGGAAATCACTCAAGTTTACACTGTCTTCATTTCCAGACTGTAAACAGCTCTACTTTAATGTGGAATATTATTAAACATCATCGTTAGTGAGTTTGATCAATAACAGACTGTGTTAATGACTAACTCTTCACTCTTAAAGCTGGATTAGATGGTGTTTACAATGATTATTTAAAGCAGAATCTCGCTCAGGGTGTTTGAGATGATGATAACCCAGTTCAACTCTCTCTGTGTGTGTGTGTGTGTGATGAACCCCGCACTGATCACCGCGCTAACCCTCCTCACTCACTCACTCACACACACACTAACCGGACAGTCCTCTCCGGGGCAGGTTCCTCCGGTAATCCACGGGCCCGTATCCCCCGGGCGGAGGCATGTCCTGCTTCACCTTGGACGCCGCCATCTTACCGTCAGCGCCGCTTCGGAAGCGTATTCCTCTTCTTCGGCGAGTGCGACTGCGCGCTGCTCTCTAGCGCCCCTGCCACTCAGACTCCAGCCCTGCGAGTGTGTGTGTGTGTGTGTGTGTGTGTGTGTGTGCGTGTGTCACAGACAGAACGACACGCGTCATAATCTGAAAATCCATTTCCATTTTTCCATTTCCTTGTCATTTCTGACTTATACTTATAACAAAAAAACAAAACAATGTCTAAAAGCTAAACAACCCAGAAATAAGTTTTTATAAGCGGTCGACCCCAAAACCGAGCGTGTAAGGACACAGAAGTGGATAGGCTGGAACGAATGGGTAAATTGTGGGATCCTGATACTCAATATACACTATAAATACATAAGTGTGCAGAAAATATTTAGTCACTGGTAGGTCAAATATCGAAATGTCAATTTTATACATTATATTCCTGTAAGCTAAGCTATTATCCATAGACTGTAAGCTATTATCACATTAGTTCTCAGAGTATTATACGTATAGTGTTGTATATAGTAGGTCTCGAGTGCCTGTGTCCACTTCTGTCTCCTTAAACGCTCGTTTTTTGGGGTCGGCCGCTTATAAAAACGTATTTCTGGGTTGTTTAGCTTGTATGCTGTACACATTGTCACATAACAGCTTTTAGACATTGTTTAGTCTTTTGTTATAAGTTATAAATGACGAGGCAATACAGAGTCAATGGAGACGGTGGGATTGTGTCCCCCCCGGTGGGCGTGGCCTAAACGCGCTCTGGCTCTATGTTCATAAACATAAAACATGTTCATCCATCATAAACTGTATGTGAGATTAAAATAAGCGTGTGCCAAAGTATATATATATTTTAAATTTTTTTTATTGAAATGTAAAATTTACAACAGTATCCGGTTTAGTCAGATTTTACAAACATATAAGTGATAACAGGAAACAAAGCACATAGAATGACATACCCAATTTTGGGGAGAAGAAAGTAAAGTACAATAAATAAATAAATAAAATAACATGATAAAGAAAAGTAATAAAACAACGATTAAGGGGCTTCAGTTAATTTTAAGGCATCAATATGCCAAAGTATAGTATGATGAAGAGAGTGTGCCGGAAGTCCCGGATGATCTACTATTCCCGGTGGATTTTCGAAGTGTGGATCCGTGCTCACCCACAATTCCCTGCGCTTTGGAGGCGGGACCGACCCGTCTATGGGAGGAACTACAAACACGAGTAAAAAAAAAAAAAACTACAACATGGCGGATATGCGTGACGGTGAGTGAGAGGTTTGATAAAGGTTTGAGTGACTAATCAAAGTTCAACCTGAAATTTATTATTTATTTAATGTTATTGTTATCCATGTTATATTTAAAAAAACAACAACATTATTATCAGTTAAAACAGTAAAAAAAAAAAAAAAAAAAAAAAAAAAACAGGACTTTTATGAATAGAACGTACAAAAGAACAGCATTTATTTGAAATAGAATCTTTTGTAACATTATTGATGTCTTTACTGTAACTTTTGATCAATTTAACAAATAGAATGATAAATAGAAGTATGAAGAATGTTTCTTGAGCATCAGATCCTCATATTAGAGTGATTTCTGAAGGATCATGTGACACTGAAGACTGGAGTAATGATGCTGGAAATCACAGGAATAAATTACACTTTACTGTATATTCACACAGAGAACAGCTGATCTACACTGGAGTAATATTACACTGTTTTACTGTGTTTTTTGTATTTTTAATCAAATAAATGCAGGCTTGGTGAGCAGAAGAGACTCTTTTAACAACCCTAGAAATCTTACAATCCATAAGTTTTGAACGGCAGTGTGTGTGTGTGTGTGTTCTGATGAGATGAACATGTTATCTGATAGTTTTGTCTAATACTCGTCTCTGTCTCAAAGATAAACTACAACTCACGGCTTCATTAATACACTGGAACTGAGAGAATGAAAGGGTTAAACTTTATTACAGGAACAAAGATCAATCTAACAAACTAACTTTGTGAATGTTGCAGGAAGCAAATGTAACAAAACTGTGACATCATCCGTTCGTGGGCGGGAACATCATGAATATTTAGACAGAATCCTCACGGCCAATAGGAACGAATCCCCTCGGCCAATAGGAACGAATCCTCAAGGCCAATAGGAACGATGTATGAGGTTTAGTGTGCAGACTTTACCCAATCAGAGCTGGGCGTTCCGCCTTCATCATCAGATGTTAAATGAAGCAGTTTTATATAGAGAGAATCCACCGTATGGAAACACACACTATAATCCTTAATGACTGCAAAAATATCGACAAATGTTTAAAACTTCGACTGACTCGTTTAAAGAAAACCAAGTAATTCAGACGGAGTCAATGGAAGGTCAACTTAAACAATACTAATTAAAAACAAACCCTCACAGATTGTGTGTTCGGGTCAAACGTGCGACGACAAACACACACACACACACACACACACACACACACACACACACACACACACACACACACACACACACACATCCTTCAGTTGAAATTACACACAGTTATATAATTTAACAGTCAGAGAAATCTAAATAAACACACACACACACACACCCAGTGTGAAAGCGGCTCGCTTGCATCCATCAGTTCTGATGTTTTTGGTTTGTTTTCAGTCTTTTCCTCTTGTTCTGCAGAGAGTCTTTTATAAGCGATCTGATCGGTCCGGTTCAGATGCGGTTCAGATGTTCAGATCCGGTTCAGATGCGGTTCAGATGTTCAGATGCGATTCAGATGTTCAGATGCGGTTCAGATGTTCAGATGCGGTTCAGATGTTCAGATCCGGTTCAGATGTTCAGATCCGGTTCAGATGCGATTCAGATGTTCAGATGCGGTTTAGTTGCAGTTCAGATGCGGTTTAGATCCGGTTCAGATGCGGTTCAGATGTTCAGATGCGATTCAGATGTTCAGATGCGGTTCAGATGTTCAGATCCGGTTCAGATGTTCAGATCTGGTTCAGATGCGATTCAGATGTTCAGATGCGGTTTAGTTGCAGTTCAGATGCGGTTTAGATCCGGTTCAGATGCGGTTCAGATGTTCAGATGCGATTCAGATGTTCAGATGCGGTTCAGATGTTCAGATCCGGTTCAGATGTTCAGATCCGGTTCAGATGCGATTCAGATGTTCAGATGCGGTTTAGTTGCAGTTCAGATGCGGTTTAGATCCAGTTCAGATGCGGTTCAGATCCGGTTAAGATGCGGTTTAGATCCGGTTCAGATGTTTAGATGCGGTTCAGATGCGATTCAGATGTTTAGATCCGGTTCAGATGCGGTTTAGATCCGGTTCAGATGCGGTTCAGATGTTTAGATCCGGTTCAGATGCGATTCAGATGTTTAGATCCGGTTCAGATGCGATTCAGATGTTTAGATCCGGTTCAGATGCGGTTTAGTTGCAGTTCAGATGCGATTCAGATGTTTAGATCCGGTTCAGATGCGGTTTAGATCCGGTTCAGAAGCGGTTCAGATGCGATTCAGATGTTTAGATCCGGTTCAGATCCGATTCAGATGCGGTTCAGATGTTTAGATCCGGTTCAGATGCGATTCAGATGTTTAGATCCGCTTCAGATGCGATTCAGATGTTTAGATCCGGTTCAGATGTTTAGATCCGGTTCAGATGCGGTTCAGATGTTTAGATCCGGTTCAGATGTGGTTTAGATCCGGTTCAGAAGCGGTTCAGATGCGATTCAGATGTTTAGATCCGGTTCAGATGCGATTCAGATGTTTAGATCCGGTTCAGATGCGGTTTAGATCCGGTTCAGAAGCGGTTCAGATGCGATTCAGATGTTTAGATCCGGTTCAGATGCGGTTCAGATCCGATTCAGATGCGGTTCAGATGTTTAGATCCGGTTCAGATGCGATTCAGATGTTTAGATCCGGTTCAGATGCGGTTCAGATGTTTAGATCCGGTTCAGATGCGGTTCAGATGTTTAGATCCGGTTCAGATGCGGTTCAGATGTTTAGATCCGGTTCAGATGCGATTCAGATGTTTAGATCCGGTTCAGATGCGGTTTAGATCCGGTTCAGATGCGGTTCAGATTCGGTTTAGATGCGGTTTAGATCAGATCCGGTTCAGATGCGGTTCAGATTCGGTTTAGATGCGGTTTAGATCAGATCCGGTTCAGATGCGATTCAGATGCGGTTCAGATGTTCAGATGCAGTTTAGATCCGGTTCAGATGTTCAGATGCGGTTTAGATCCGGTTCAGATGTTCAGATCCGGTTCAGATGTTCAGATGCAGTTTAGATCCGGTTCAGATGCGATGTGAGAGTGAAAAGCCCTTGGATGAATAAACCTGTGTAAGCGTCTCGGCACTCTGGCGTGAACAGACACACACACACACACGTCCTGAATCGTGAACAGAGACACACACACACACGTCCTGATTCCAAGACTGATCCCGAGCTTCACTTCCAGGAGTTTGCGGTGTGTGAGACGGTGTGTGACGGGATCATGTCCAGCAGAAACTCTCTGTGCCGCTCCAGCGCTGACGACGACTTGTGTCCCGACAAACTGGGGTTCATGTAGGCCATCGTCACACCTGCCACACACACACACACACACAGAATGAGTAAACAATGACAGAACGATCATTTCCGCGTGAGTTATCTCAGTGTGTGAGCGCCGCCGGTTCCTGAAGTAGTTTTCCCAGAGGGATATTATAAGTCTTTGTTAAAGTGTTACAAGGAGAATCACAACATTACTAACTTTAATTTCAAGGAAAAA